TTCCAGGGCCTGGCTTGGCCTGGCCTGGCCTGTCAGGGTGCGGGCGGCGGCGGCTTCAGCACCATGTCCCTGCAGTACGGGGCGGAAGAGACGCCCCTCGCCGGCAGTTACGGCGCGGCTGATTCGTTTCCAAAGGACTTCGGCTACGGCGTGGAGGAGGAGGAAGAGGAGGCGGCAGCGGCGGGCGGCGGGGTTGGGGCGGGGGCCGGCGGTGGCTGTGTCCCGGGGGGAGCTGACAGCTCCAAGCCGAGGATTCTGCTCATGGGGCTCCGACGCAGCGGCAAATCCTCCATCCAGAAGGTAAGTGGGGCCGTTCGGGGCCCTTCCCTCCCCTCCCCCTCCTCCCCGAGGGCTCAGGTGGCCGCGGAGGGGAGGTCCCTGGAGGGTGGCGGCCGGGGTTGGCCTGGAGCTGCGTCCCACTGTACTTTCTCTTCTCTGTGAGCGTGGAGCCGCTGGTGGGGCCAGCGCCAGGACCCTGACCTCTGTGTCCACGCCCAAGTCAGCTGAGGCCGGGTGGGTGGTTGGAGGGAGGCAGGTGTTGAAAGGCACCGCCCAAGACCTCGGTTCCCTGGAACCCAGCCCGTGTGTCTTTTACGAAACTGAGACGTACTCTCCGGTTCTCACTTGGAGAACTTCGCGGACTCGCTCCCGTACCCCCTTTTTTATTTGTTCCTCTCACTTCAGGTGACCTGACTTTGCAGGGATTCCCAGACCAACCCCAGGGAGCAGCGTCAGAAAGAGTTGTGACTAAGGCACTGGGCATTCTAATGCTTGTTCTTGTTACTAGTATAGAGGAAACTTCCCTGTAACATTTTTGGGAATTGGGTACTAATATCTCAACTATTTCAGTACTTGTGGCTTGGTGAGTGTAATTACTGGCAATATTCTCCCGTAGGCTGTGGGTAAAAAATCTGAGATTTTGCAAAAGTTTTGCAGACCCACATCAGTGCATTTGTTTTTACTTTGTCTTGAACAAGTGGAGGGAGGGCTGTATGCTTTTTAAGGGGAAATAGAGGCAAGATTGACTTCCTCCATTACACACACAGTGAGCTAGTAATAAAACTATCACCAGACACCCTGTCTTATCCTTTCTCCCTCTCCACTCTGTTACAGAGATCTATCCAAAGTAAGTTTGTGTATTTTGTAGACGTGTTTTCAAAAAGGAGCCTTCTTCTGAATTTACTGGATACTGTGTTTTATTTAACTTGCTTTTCTCCTCTGCAGTAAAACTTAGGTATATTTATGAAGAGTTTTAGCAAATCTTTAGCAAAAGATTTTAATTCTTTTCACCTGTTACAAAACCTTGGGAATAACTTCATTTTTCTCTTTTAGAAAGTAAGTTAGTTTTATGTTAAGATTGTATGGGTGATGGGTTTTGATTATTGTGGTCCTTAACAGTTGCCTTTACTATTTCTTTTCTCATGGGAGCTGCATTTTCCCTGTCAACTTACACAGCCCCCCGACATTTTTTTTTTTTTTGCAGTTTTTGGTAGAGTTATTTGTCTTTGTTTTATTTCTTCCACAAGACTGCAAAATCAGTGAAAGTAGGGTCCAATCTGTTTCTTTCTTTTTTATTACTGATGCAGGCACTTGAGTAATTTTGAATCAACAAAACTTTTTAAGCTTTGGCTACAAAGCTTTATAATCGGAAAACATATTTTGGCAGAATTAATACAGTTTAACCCACTCCCTAGAAAACAAAAACAAAAACACCAATGTAGGTGAGAGATAGTGCTACTACTGGTACTGTTTATGGTGCGGGGAACAAAGCAGAAAAGTTTTACCTCCAAAGTAGATGTGATAGAAATTAATTTGGTGTTGTCTTTTGTGAGAAATAAAAGGATAGTGACTACCATCACCATTCAGTTTGTACCTCTAAAAACATTTTTGTAGGATCAAATTTTTTATGTTAAACCAGGGAAGTTTTAAATGTAAATTCTGAAGTTGAATAGTCATAAAATTTTCTTGTTTCTTTTAACAGGTGGTGTTTCATAAGATGTCACCCAATGAGACTCTCTTTTTGGAAAGTACCAACAAGATTTATAAAGATGACATTTCCAATAGCTCCTTCGTAAATTTCCAGATATGGGATTTTCCTGGGCAAATGGACTTTTTTGACCCAACCTTTGACTATGAGATGATCTTCAGGGGAACAGGAGCATTGATATATGTCATTGATGCACAGGTAGTCACGAATGATTGTTTACTGCTCTTCTCTGTGCAAAAAGAGGTAGAAACAAAGGAAAATTGTTTATCTTCTTTGCCATATGTTTGCAGCTTATTTCTTTGGCACTGAATTCCCTGGTAGTATAAGAACTGCAGTTGCAGAGGTGCTTTGGGAGCAGGCATGCTGTTTTCCATGTACAGAATGTCAGATGATTAGAAGATGTGATTTATATTCTTAGGTTCTAGTTTTGAGAAGCTGACACTGGCTTTCCACTTTCATTGGTTAATAGCAGATATTGTCGTACTTTATAACCATAGTGACAGCATTCACTAAAAAGATTCCCATCCCATCATATAAAAATATGAGAATTAGAATCAGTAGATTTAGAGCAGTTTCTTCAACTGCTCAAATTGAACTTAGCCCAGCCAGCATTTTTTTGAGGGTCTCGCATGTGGTACACAGTCAGATGAATGGAATATATCCTTATCCTTAAGAAGCTTACTTTTTGTAAGCTTAAGCATTAGTTAGGAATGCTTTCTGAGTGCCAGGCTCTATATAGTGGGTGCTTTTACATATGTGATCTAATTTAGTCTTCATTATAGTGAGATATGTATTGTAATTCCTGTTCAGTATAGTGAGATATGTATTGTAATTCCTGTTTTACAGATAAGTAAACTGAGATCACAAGAGTTTAAGCAACTTGCTTAAAGTTACACATCTGATAAATGGCAGAGCTGGGATTACTTTAAAAAAATCCATTGGGAAGAAATATACATCTCCTTATTCCTTTCTTTATATTATCAGTACTAAAAATAATACAAGCATTAACTTGGTAATTGAATTTTTTAATCTTGAGAAGTTGAAGAGCTATTTAGTGATATAAGTTAATGTATTTGAATGTTTGAATATTTACGAATAATTAGGATATTTTCTGTGTTTGGGGAAAGAGGTGGTTTGAGGCTTTCTTAGCTTGTTGTCCTTTGTAAGATTTCTTTTTAAAAGATATTTTGTTCTGACTTACAGGATGACTACATGGAGGCTTTAACAAGACTTCACATTACTGTTTCTAAAGCCTACAAAGTTAATCCAGACATGAATTTTGAGGTTTTTATTCACAAAGTTGATGGTCTGTCTGATGATCACAAAATAGAAACACAGAGGGACATTCATCAAAGGGCCAATGATGACCTTGCAGATGCTGGGCTAGAAAAACTCCATCTTAGGTAACAACATGTGTGTTTGATACCAGAGCCCTAAACAATGTGTAAATGTATTCCCATCTCTGTCATTACAAACACTGTAGCTATCTGTTACTGGAATGCTCTTTCCTAAATCTGTAATGTTTTTGATTTCTTAGTGGTCGAATGCCAAGCTGTTTTGGGAGCCTGATGTTATTGAGAAGTTACTTTACCCACTTTTTGTGTTTTCCTGGTGATTGAAGTTCTTGTGAAGTGTTGCCATTGGTGCTTTTCCAAGTTCATCTCAAGAGACTGGAGTCAGGCTCTTTCTTCGTGACATAAGTCTACTTTGGGACTCCTTAGTCTTGCCTCAGTGAAAGGAATCACTTGTCACATTTGTTGAAGATTGTAAACATCTGTACGTTGAGTCTTGATAGTATCTTTCTCGGTAATGAAGAGATAGCATTTTCAAGTCTGGATTGACTGATGTATGTTAGGTTTTAAAACACTCTACTTTTATGAAACTCTAAAGTTTGGGTTAGGTTGGTTTAGTCCATTAATTTGCATAATGCTGCCATTAAGAGTAAAGGACTGCTGGTTTATAATTAAATATTGCTAAGTCACTACTAGAGAATAGCTAGTAGGTAGGATTGATTTATGTATTTTCATTCTAAAAGTATATGAAGAATATTTTTGTACATCTTGTTTTTTTGTGATACGGGTAGGAATGAGTATTCAGAAGTACCCAAGAAAGTGTTCTCTTGATGAGATAAGCAGCCTAAAGAGGTAACAAGAGAGAGACTCAAGCATAGTTATTTCTCTGTCTTTGGTCTGTTACAGGTACTTCTGTTGTAGGCTTAAGTCATCCCTCATTTTTACTTCTTAATATTCTGTGGGCCTCAGGCTCTAAAATCTTTTGGTCTTGGTTTTGGAAACCATTGACCTCTATTTACCTGGATTAAATTTTTAAAAAATTTAAAAGTAATTTATGCTTAAAAAGATAAAAATTTAGCAGTGTCTGTAAGAGAAAGTGCCTTTCTATAAAATTCCTCAATCTAATTTTTCTTTCTTTTTTTTTTTTTTTTGCCAGGGCTGGGTTTGAACCCACCACTTCCGGCATATGGGGCCAGCGCTCTACCCTTTTGAGCCATAGGCACACCTCTCAATCTAATTTTTTTAGAATCTGTTAGTGATAGTTTTTACCTAGACTTTAAGCCAGGCTTGTCCTCTGTTCCCCAGTACCCCTAGGGATCCTTCTGGTTCTCTGTACTCCATGTCTGTGTCCCTTTTCAGGGTATCTCACCACAGTGGTTTGGTCCTCCTTTTCCCAATATCATATGGGGCCCTAGGCCTTGTAAATGTCAGTAGAATTTGACATTAACTGTCTATCTATTATTCCCAGCCTGTGGATGAAGGTGTATTTGATTTCTGCTTTGTGGAAACTCACCTTACTGAAGTTCCTGTGCGTTGCTGATTCTCCCTGTCACATCTTCCTCCAGACCTCATAGGCCTGCAGGATCTTCTCACTTCACTAAACTGTTTGCCTAAAGGAGACACTAAAATATTCCTTTCTTTTTTTTTTTTTTTTT